TGGAAAATAAAACTTATGAGGAGCGGCTGAGGGAGTTGGGGCTGTTTAGCCTGGAGAAGAGGAGGCTGAGGGGAGACCTGATTACGGCCTACAAATATTTGAGAAGGGATGGTGGGGAGGTGGGGGAAGGGCTCTTTACATTAGTGATGGGTGATAGGACAAGAGGAAATGGATATAAGCTTAGTCAGGGGAGATTCAGGTTGGATGTTAGGAAGTATTTCTTCTCTGAAAGGGTTGTCAGCCACTGGAATAGGCTGCGCAGGGAGGTGGTTGAGTCCCCATCCCTGGATGTGTTTAAGAAAAGGGATGAACTACTTAAGGTATGGTTTAATGGGAGATTAGGGACGGTTGGACTGGATGATCTCTAAGGTCTTTTCCAACCTAGAAATCTATGAAATCTGTGAAGGCAAGATCAATTACAGTTGAAATGCAAAGGATATTGAGCCTAAGTTCTTTCCTCACAAACAGTCACTTCCTAGAGAACGAGGACAATACAGCTCTCATTTTTGGAACTGGGAATTGAAATTTCTCCGGCAGAACGTTATAAAAAAGAAGTCTCTTAAAAATGACTACTAAATCGGTCTGCTGAGTTCCTGGTTTGAATTTTATTTTGTCCACCCAAAAAGCAACTGCCTTTCTAGCAAACAGATTTTCTAACAAGTGTAAGATTGTTCTCAATACACCACCAGTATTTTTTTTTTTTATGTAACAAAAAAGAAAACTACTCTATTTCAACTTGAAATTTTTCCTGAATAGGTCACAGCAGCCTGCTGATGTCAAGAAAGTCTTACAGAGGCAAAAGGGAACTGAGCAGAAGTAGCAGCAGCTAGCCCCTATGCTTTTTGTTATGAAAATAGTTAGGAAATCAGTCAAATGTCCTGTCATAGAGATATCAAATAACAGCAACTTAATACAGCACTTCAATATTCTGAAGAACTGTGTCAATGTACCTATTATGTTTTAACAAATTTTTAGGAGGTGGATAGCACTGCCACTGGACCAAATTGATGAGTCTAGAGAAGGACAACAATTAAAACAGACACCACCAAAATCAGTATTTACCCATTATTTTGTAAAATAATAACCTGAAAGAAAAACCCAGTGTGTCCTGGGTTTATGTGGTGGGGTTTTGGTAGCAGGCAAGGGGATGCAGGGACAGCCCCTGTAAGGAGAAGCTTCCCGGGCTCCAAAACCAGTCAGACCTGTCTCTGGCCGAGGCTGTGCCAATCGGTGCCTCTGTCAATAACATATCTAAGAAGGGGATAAAGAAATCTGCACCATGTGGGACCTGCAGTGACGAGAGGAGAGGCAGGGAGCTGGCTCCCCACACTCTGGCATTTCATACCCAACTGGAGGTGGCCACAGTGGCGCGGCTTGGAGAGCTCTGAAGACCCCTGAACCAGGGCGCCCACTGGGCGGAGTTCATCCTGCCAGGACTGCCCAGGTTCGTCAGGCCCAGCACGGCTGCAGCAAAGAGAGGACTGAGATCTGAGAGAAGAGACTACACAGACCCCAAGGTCAGTGAAGATGGAGTAGGAGGAGGTGTGACGGAGCTCAGATTCCCCCTGCAGCCCGTGGTGAGATGGCAGGCTGTTCCCCCGCAGCCCATTTAAATTAATGGTGGAACAGTGCGTGAAGACTTGCGGCCGTGGAGGACCCCATATCAGAGCAAAGATCCTGAACCCAAAAGAGTTTGTAGAGGACTGTCTCCCATGGGAAAGGACCCCCACGCTGCTGGAGACTGACAGTGGAACAAAGATGCATCTGCAGTCCATGGGAAGAGGCTCCACACCAGAGCAAGTGGCCATGCCCTAAGAAGTCACGACTGTGGGAAAAGTGCACAGTGGAGCAATCTGACGTGTAAGGATTACATCCTGTGGGAAGGACTCATGTTGGATAATTTCATGGAGGACTGACCTGCATGAGGAGGGATCCCACACAGGAGCAAGGGAAGAGGGTAAAGAGGCCTCCTCCTTAAGGAAGGAGAGGTAGAAACAGTGTGTTACAAACTGACTTGCAACACCCCTGCCCATTCCCCATCCCCCTGCGTCACTGGGGAAGGAGGTAGAGCTGAGAAGGGAGGGGTGGGGGGAAGGTGTTTTAAAGATCTGGCTGTGTTTCTCTTACCCTCTCTGAAGTAACTGATAACAAATTAAATTGATTTGTCCCCAGGCTGAGTCTGTTTTGCCCAGGGCCATGGATGGGTGATCCCTCCCTGTTCTTATCTTGACCCTCAGGCCTTTTTGTTACATTTTTTCTCCTCTCCACTCCACCAGAGCAGGGGAAGAGTGAGCCAGAGACTGTGTGGTAGCTTAGCTGCCAGGTGGGCTAAACCACGGCACCAAGGAAAGGTAGTGCATGCACATCTTGTAATCCAGCCTCAAAAGAGGCACCACAGCTAGACCCTCACGGATCTAACATACAAGAGGACAACATCCATGGATCAGATAGCTCCTGTTCTCTGAACACAGAAAGGGCTACTGAGTATAAAGGAAACCAGAAATCAAACAGTGACTGAATTTTACTTACTGTAGTCAAAGGGGCAGGTGTAGGTATAGGAAGCAACCCTGCACCAGGCATCAGGCTTGTCATAGTAGGAGCAGGCGCCAACAGAGAAAGGGCTTTGGCTTCATCTGGGATTTTACCTGAAGAAGCAAATGAGAGTGTTACACAGAGTTGGAACACTACACAGATGTTACTCTTTCTATGATTTTACAATTACCCTTGCATTTAAAAATGTAATAAATAACAATGAATCTATCTATCAGATCCTTATAAAGAAACAAATAAGAACTTAAGTTTTCCCTTTTACCCTGCTCTACTAGGAAAAACAAAAGTGAGCAAAACTTCAAAGACTAGCAATCTCATTAATGGATTATTATTTTAAAAACTGAATAATGTATACAATTATTTAACACTTTGAGCTATGGGTCACCTGTACTGGAAACTTAATGTTCATGAACCAAACGATATCAAGCATGGACGCTTTCCCAGGGCGGTGTTTTCGCGGTGATCGAAAGTTGTTTTACACATGACAACCGTTCGTGTAGGCTGCATCACTAATAGCACACAGAACATCAGATACAGAAAAGAAGAACATTTTTTAAAGTTTAATCCCCAGAAATGGCAAATAACCAAATCAGCAAAAGAAAAAAAAAAAAAAAAAAGAAAAAAAGAAAAAAACAAAGTATGTGCTATCTGAAATTTGTTCCTTTTTTTTTTTTTTTGAATTCCTCTGGTGCTTCCTAATTTGGATGTAAAAAATAAAAAAAAAAAAAATACAACTACTGAACTACTGTGACTCCACACAATACATACTACAAGTGAAGCTGGAGGTGGAGGAGGGGAGGGCAGAAAAAATTTAGATTTGTACTGTCTCACATTCTAGGTCACCTCAGTTTATCTGAAACTTTGATAAATTAGCTTTAAACTTACTGAGATTGAAGAAAATCATAACTGATCAGCTAATCAAGCTATATTTGCCCAAAGTATGTATTTCCTATTATTTCAACCAGATTATATTCCCCTTGCAACAATAAAAGTTTAAGTAATATCTAATCTGAATTAAATGCAGGTTTCATTCAATGTTAGTCACAAATTAGACTGCTAAATGAACACCAAAAAATCTTCAAAAATCAAAATATTTAAAAAAGAGTTAAACAATTATGATTACAATTACACGTACATACTAAATTTGAAATACAAAGGGATTTCCACTGGTACAATCATTAAACACTAAACTGAAAAACTACAGAGAGGAGTTCCAATTACACTAGGTATCTACAATCTATTCAAAATTACTAGCATAATTTTATATATGCTAACTAAGCCATTTGGTGTTACCCTATGCACTTTAATAAATAATTTAAACATTGTTTTAAAAGTCAAGGTATATACAAATACTGTGACAGTAGCTTTTACTGCTTTGGTCCAAACTGTCTATGTTTTAACTATAAACCTCCTAACTTCAGCATTTAAAAATGAATATATAAATATTCTTATCAAAAAGCAAAATATGAGGTAAGTTTCAAAACACTGTGCAGTTTTAGCTACATGAGTTCCAATAGACCTCACAGGAAACATACTATTTAAAAAAAAAAAAACAAAAACATAAAAAAGTGCTGCAAACATGTTCTACAGATCTGCAGCAAGGACTGGGTTACAGTTAGATATGACCAAAGGACAAAACAAATCTAAATGAAACTTAATTTATATGTAGCATGGGTGGAATAGAAAAGATAAAATAACAGTACCCATTTTTTTCTCATGCTTCCTATTTACATTTATTTTATTTATATTAAACTTTGAGGCACCTTGCTCCTTAACATGTAACAAACCACTTGATTTTGCTATCTAAAGGAGAAAAATAGGAAAATTATTAGCACTTAAGAATTAACTGTGCAATAATGATTTCCAGGGCTTTTTCAAAAACATGCATGAATCTGAGTCATCATCACAATGTTCAGCACTTTTTACAGATCTCATTTTGAAGTCAGGCATGCAATGAGAGGTGTACCTGATTTGCCTGACCGCTCATGACTATCAGGTACTTTGCTGCACATCCTGCCTAATAGGTAGCTAACAGGTTTTCAGATATACAGTTCCAGCAGCTGTGCATGCAAATTAGGCATAGAATTATGTACCAGTGCTTCTGAAAATCGATATACCTAAGTGTTTCCAAATGACTAATGAACCAGACCGTATCCTGAACAGCCAGCATCTTGCAATTAGCTGGATACTCATGCAGGTTTCTACAGGATCGACAAACATGGCTCAAGTAAACTCAATGGCAGAAATGGCTCCTAAAGTGGTGTGTCTGCATTCTAATTTAGATCCTTGGTCAGTAACATACATAAGTATATGCCTAATTTAAGTATGCGCTTACATACAGTCAATTCAATATACACTTAACCAGGTAAGAGATGCTTAGGTATTTAGCCCTTCTAAATAGGAACTGAGTTAGGCACATAACTAAACAGACAATGAGTCAAGTGTAGAAAGGTACTTAAATACAAGCCTAAACTTTAAGTATGTGGGTCATATTACTGAAATAATTGGAACTTTTCATTTGCTCAAATGTTGCTTAAGGAATTCACTGAACACTTGCAGTTAAGTGCACCGTTAAAGCAGTTCAAAGAACGAGTAACATGCGTATCTAAATTTTAAAGCTAGCAGCACTACTTCCAGAATACTTTGGTCCTTCAACAATGCAATGTTTTATTTTAAATACAAAATCTAGTCTGTCAGTTCTGTGCCACAAAGAAAGATTCACTTATTTTATTCAAGAATGAAAAGGGTCCATCTCTACAGAGAAAACCCTGAAAATTTGCCTGTATATTTGAAGATAATGTTCTTTCAAAAGATCCTTCTCCAGGTTTTAAGATTGGATCGAACTTTTTTTAACAATTCCATAAAAAACAAACTGTTGTGGGGAAAAAAAAGAAAATCTGAAATATCTTGCAAATTTACTTCTCCGTTCTTCAGATAGTTTTAAAAAACAAATTAATATGTAAGGGCAAAATAACCTTACAACTTACTTTGGAGTTTTATTTCCATGAATTTATGTATAAAAGGAATATAAGTCCACAAAGATACAACAAAACATGTGGGTTATGATGCAACAAATTAGGACACTTTAGTTTAAGAATAACTGTTTCTGTTTTTAAACTCGTGGTATTGAAAAGCTGAATGGAAACTAGCTAAATATTTATTTCCTAATGAGGGAAACAGGCAAAATAAGTATGCCATATCTATACCACATCCTTAGAAAGATGTCTTAAAAGCACTTGTGTTTAGTGAATCACAGATTCTGTGATCATTTATTAAATGATTCTTCACTTTGCAAAGGAATCTGGAAGCAGATGTAGATTAGCTCTGCATTGCCTAGAGACACCTCAGGCTTCTTAGGAAATGTACAGCGGTCCTAAATATCAGTTACGATTGTTACTTTTTTATATCGCCAAAGTGCTTTAGAGCCCTCGTCAACCTAGTCTGTACCAGAACCCATTTTGCTAAATGCTGAACAGAAGTATCTGTGTTAAGCAAGTACTAATTACAGTATTTTTATCCCCCCGAAGAGCTCAGAAGAAATTAATTTTGTACTCTTTGTGCTGAAACTACACAGTTAACACTCCCCCAAAAAAGTGTTTCTGCAATAACTTGTTTTAAAAATACTTACAGTTCACATCTACTCTAAACGTAATTAAAGGAACTGTTATTTTCCTGCTATTTTAAATCAATGGAAAATGCAAGCTTACAAATAAAGGTAATTTCTGTGTCATCTGATCCATGATTCTTACTGGATTTAGCAGCAGTGATTAAAGAGATTACACCTACTGGCAATTACTCAACTGCCACAGCTAAATCCAACAGAGATCGTGAAGCAGAGCTCTTGCCAGGTGCAGTGCGCAGCCTGGTGCATTACCAGAGTGAAACCAACTGATTCCAACGCAGCTGGCTGGCAAGAGCAATGTCTGAGGACTAGACACACCACCTGGTCCATCACTTCTGTTCCAAGGCTTCCATTTCACAAGAAGAACAAACATCATTTAGGGATGAGAACCTTCTCAATCACTCCAGAATGAACTGGCAGGGCTTCCGAGACTGCGAGATGACCAAGATGACACTTTCTTTCTTTTTTTTTTTTTTTTTTTAAAATCTCTTCTTGGAATAACCACCACTGGAGCATGTCAAAGTGCAATATACATGTACACACACGCACACACACACACGCACACAGAACTAATTCAATCTTCCCACAAATAACAGTGTTAAAAGACAATGTGCCTCACATAACACATTCTAACCAAAACTTCAGGCTGCATTTGTACTTATGAGTGGTAAATAGTTTTTTCTGAAAATTACAAAAAACGAAAGGATGAAATCTTACTGCCACTGACCTCACTGGAGCAAGGTTTCATCAGAAGCAAACACGTTATTTCGTGACATTCAATATTCATGGAAGTTCAGTTTCAGAAATAATTATTTTAAACTCATCATATTAAATATTGATAGTAAGCCTGCTTTTAAACAGACCATGCAACCTAAAATAAAAATCCTCTGCTGAGAAGAGGAAAAACAGCAGAGAAAGATCATGACTTTATTGCACAAATTTAATTTCTCCAGAAGTAAGAGTTTCAATTGTCCTTTTCCAAGATAAACTCATAAAGGATAACATACAAAAGAATGTATCTTAAAACTAATAAATTTTTACTATTCCTATCTTCTGACGTAGTGTGCTCATCTGTTGAATTTGGATGCTGAAACATATTCCAAATCAAATTTATCTGTAATTCACAGCATAAAAATTAATCATATTCTAAATTCTGTGTATACCATCCACCATTCATAAGCAGTTTCAGGTCAACTTCAAAATGAAACACTCTGAACCCTTTACAAAACACCATTTTTACAGAACTGAAATACCAGTTCACAAGTACAAGGGAAAGAGATTTAACAGAACAAAACAAAAAAGGGACAAAATAAAATAAAAATAAAAGAAACAAAGGAAAGAAAGCAAAATAAAATAAAAACAGAGACAGGGCGTCCATCTTCAGCAGGCCAGACTTCGATCTCATTTCCCCCATGAAGGTTTCACTTGGCGGCAGGTTTAGTGGCATGGCAAACAATGCCTAACTCAGGCAAGTGTAACAGGTCTGCCTTGGCCAGTCTAGTCATCTAATAATGCACAAATATCACACAGAGAAAACATACAAAACCAAATTAATAGTCAAAATCCATCTACCAGATAATGTGGACATAAAATTTAGAATGATTAGGGTGGCATCTTTGTTTATCTTTCAACCTTTGCGTTCTCAAAGTATAATGTTTAAAGAAAAACCTACCGATACATAGACAAAAAAGTCTTATTTTTTACCGCTTAATGATGTTACTTCATTTACAATTACATGTTCATTAAATTGTTTATTAAATAGCACAAAATTAACATTGTTTTTATTATGCAGTGATTACCTCCTCATACTCCCTTGATTTACCAGTGTTTAAATACACTCCAAAATTCAGATTTTATTCTGGTTTTTTAAAACCAAGGTTTCAGAGTACTGTTTTACCTCTCCTCTATGTTCGATTCGGCGCATGAGATGTTTTATTACTGGCACCATTGGCCAAAGATATAATTTTACCTCCCAGTAGAATATAGCCATCACTACTTCTAAAGCTCATGATACACTCTGCCGACTTCATTAACAATGCATCATATGATACATAGTGAATAAAAAAAACCTTGTGCTGTGGTCTCCAAAGCCATAGTTATTCAACACAATTAATTCCTCAGAAAGTTAAACCTACATAAATTCACATCTTTATAAATTAGAATTAGTCATTCTGTTAGAAAGTTACATGGAAACAGCATTCCGACATTAAAAAAAATTTGACCTCACAACCCAATCACTTGTTCACCTAATTATGCATAAATGTCTCTGGGGTCCAGAATGATTTTGAACAGTGACAAATTTCTCTGTAATAGGTTTTCTCAGAAATGCCTAATAAGTCAGCTGCAAATGGGATTGGAATAAGATTTTTGTCAGAACTTTGATTTTGTTCTCCTTTCATTCATTGTCTACCATCAAGAGACACAGGAAAATGTAGCTTTACCTGCCTGCTGCCGTACCACGTCAGGCAGTGATCTCATCACAAGAAAAACACCAGGAAGTGCTGTTCATTCACTAGGTGGCAATCTTCCCTCTCTGGCAGTACTGAACCAGTGTTAAGGTCTTTTTTATCAAGTGTAAAACTAAGATCCCGAATAATTTGTAGTCAATTATTTAGGGGTAGTTTTTCAATAATAAGGACTTTGGCCCCATACGCATCTACAGAACTTCAAGCAGATACAGCAGTATCTTCTTTATGGTTGAAGAACAAGTTCAAAAAATCAAACCAAAAATCCCCCAAAACAAGGCATAAAAGCAACTAAAAACCTAGGCTTCACAAAGACAAATATGTGTGCCATATGCCCTTATTAAGAAGGCTACAAGAACAGGCAGTATACTGTACGTCAATATTGTCTTTAGTGAAAGTACTTAGAGTCTGAAATTTTGGAGACCTGTCAGAGTTTGGTAGGAACATTCCAGACCATTATTACACCAGCACTAATCTCATACTATCCAGATCATGATCTGGTAAACATGCCAAAAAATGGTACTCTGATCACTGTTAACAAACTCCAAGAAGTAAACAGTATTTTCTGAAGCAAAATCTTACTCTTGCAGTTAAAAAAATTATGTTAACAGGAGGTATTTCTGGACTTGTTGCAGTTTATGTTTCAATCATTCTAAATATTCCTCCTCGTGGCAAAACAGCTACCACGTTCAAAGTAAAGTTAGGTTCACTCCACCAGCTGGAATGTTTCTACTCCAAAGGGGCAAAAAGTCTAGAACTAAATAGGCAGATGCTTAGTTCCACAACGATTCCAATGAAGTCAATGGGGCTCTGCCTAACTCCAGTGATATGCCTACCACAAGTTCATGCTTCACAGAACTGTATTCAGATTTGGGATGTTAGACTAACAAGAATTACCTTGTATTCAACACATCTGTAAAAGTATGGCCTCAAAGCTAGTTAAAAGAACACTTGTAAATTTATTATTCACCACGTATTTTATTTTATTAAGTAGTTTTTAAAATATTTTATGCTACAAGCATTCTGTATAGACCACTGCATTTTTGAATAGATATCTAAAACCAAAAAGGAGTATCAGCATACCTAAGAATGCCTTTTTATGGCACACAAAGTGATATTTTCCACAGAAACAAGAAAGGAAAATTGTTTTTTTAATTAAACTAGCAGGTAAACATTTATATTCAAACAGTAATTATCACCATGAATGCTAAGGATTTTAGATTAGATGAATCTAAAATGGCCAAATGTATATATCACATGTTTACATGACAAAACTTGGATTCAGTCTAAAAAAAGTGGAAAAATATTCAGTATCTTAAAAAAAAACCAAACAAAAACGCACCACACCAAAGCTGATAGATTAAGATCCAAACTGCAATGTTACTAATCTTTTCAGTGCTCCATTGACTTCAGTGAGAACTCTGTTGAGAATAAGCATGCCAACACAAACAATACTGAAGGGAATTATTTTATCTTCTTTTCCCTCAAAATATGTAACAATGATGGAAAACTGAATTATCCTAATTTAAATCAACTATCTTTTTTCTAGTGAATCAAATCTATATGATTGGGTTTCCTCAATCAATTTACCATTTTGTTTCAAGACTTTTTTTCAAAAAGCAATAAAATAAAAGAAAATAACAACAGAGCACCACCTTCTTACATGGAAAGCTTAAAACAAGTAGCAGACGCAACAAAGACCAACATTACAGAAGAATGTCTAAAATACCAACCTTCTGCGCAGGGCACAACTATCAAAGCTCTGTCAATAAAAACCGTGTTAGTTAGATGCTGGGCCACACCAACACTCGATGCTTCACGAAACTTAATATAACATACTTTGGAGGAAAAAGCAAGAGGTGCGTTGCTGCAAGATAAAAGGAAAAAAACAATTAGTCACATTAAATAATTGTATGCATGTATTTTTAACTATTACTCCTTGATAAAAAAAATAGGTTTTAGACTTCTTGGAAAAGTTAGCGAAAAAGCAAGAGTCTAGAAATCTCCTAATTTGCCTACTTACTATGTCACTGCAAAAAGCATAGCATAGCACCTCCTTCTTTTTAATGGAAATTTATGTAAGCCAAAATCCCAAATTAACAAGGCTAGTTTTCTTTTATGATCTTGGTAAACAATATTAACCAGTGCATTCCAAATTACTATTGTAAATAGCTTATTTACTTGACACATTTGTCAAGTAAATAATTTACAGTTTATCTTTTTTCTTCCAAATAATCCTTGTACAGGAAAGTCAAACAAGCCGAGTCATTTTTCAGTGGCTCCTTCAGATATTAGCCCATAATAACACATACTCTTTCTTAGGTCTTACGAAAGCAGTTTCATTAATTCTTAATCAAATAAAACCATTTCTTAAGAGTTATTTCAAATGTTAGGTCTTAGATCACTAATGTAACAAAAGTCTTTTTTATCATCTGCCTTGGTTTGGCATAGTGTAGTACAGGATAACACTGGAGGAGGTAGGAGGGATTTACTATTTGGGTAGAAGGAGGAAGAAAATGTTTAACTTGCTTTTCCATTAGAAAGCATACCAACAGAGATGTCAGAAAGCAGAACACACAAACACTGTAATCTTGATCAAAATCGAAGAAGTTTGCTTTAAAAATGTATGCCCTAGTCAAGGTTTGTAACCTTTATACAAGCAGCTTATTTCTTCATATGAAGGAAGTACAGGCGAAATCTTCGAAGAGAGAATGCTGTAAGACATTGCTGGAACATCGGCAATGAAAGAGCATCTTTCTTCTAGCAAAGTAGTTACTCATGGAAAACATGCTGCATAACCTGCTCCATCCTGACACTCCCTCAACTGAAATAGAACCACTTGTCAACTTTCTGGAAGTACCAGAAGCAGTTTAATTTTAGCCCAACCCATCCTGCAGTCATTCAAATTCCAAGCAGGTACTCTCAAAGTTGTTGTATGAAATTAACCAGACTTTAGCACTAAAATATAAGCTCAGAAGTTTTAGACATATTATTTCATCATATTAATCATGTAAATGAACCAAGGACAAAAGTTCAGAAAAGTTTCCAACATGTGAGGTGACAGTGAGCTATGACTTTCTCAGTACTCAGCAGAAATGCGAGCATACAACTTTTGATCTTACATATCCTGAAGAGCCAGACTTCACCCACTGCAAAGATAATTTTTCTAATGGCCACAAGGTTTTTTTTTTGCTTGTTTTCATTTGTTGGGGGAGGGTGGAAGGGGGTCTTTGTGTGGGGGTTGAGAGGAGAGGTGTTTCCTTTTTTTTCTTGTTGTTTGGGATTTGTTTGTTTGTTTTAAAATATATACGCCAATATTAAAACCCAAATGGCAGAAGCCTCCACTGAAGATTCTGTGGTTCAGACTGTTGAACACTTCTAACACCTCCTGTTTTTTTTCTGTTTGTTTTCATTGCTAACTAAAGATCATAATTATGTTCCAGACAGTTCCAAGCTTCATAAATAATCTTTATAATAAATTTCAACATCTATAGAGGTAGCTCTGACAAGCGTTATTTTTTATAATATTCTCCCTCCTGCATTTCCTGGATTTCAATCACAAAAGCTATGTGGAAACTATGTCAAAAAATATTAACATTAGAACACTGCTGCAAACAAAGCTCTAAAAAGAAGTCTTGGTACAAAGTGTTTTCTGAAGGTTACAGAGGAGAAAGCCTCCATAAGGATGTTGCAGTAGTAATTTTCTAGGTCTAATGGAATCCATTGCTTATCATTAGCAGCAAGACTTTCTGCAGCCCTAGGCCACAAGCTGTGAACTCTCTTCCTAGATACACTTTTAGCTGGGACAGAGTTAATTTTATTCTTACTGGCTGTACGGTGCTGAGTTTTGGGTTTAGTTGGTAATACACTGGTGTTTTGGCTCTTGCTAAGTGGTGTTCTTTCTAAGTCTAGGACTTTTTTCAGTGTTACCCATGTTCTGCTGGTGCCAGGTGTGCAAGAAGCACACACCAGGAGACAGGGAACTGCAACTGCCAGCAAAAGCTGCAACTCGGCAAGATAAGAACAGCTGGCGGCCTGCCTGCCTGAGAGACAGAGAAAGAACCCAACAAAGTGCCCGAAGATCCCAGCCCAGAAATCACCATCGGACCAAACGGGCGCATGAAGAGCATGTGACATTTTTGTTTTCTTTTGCAGGGAGACAGTGACATCCAACTCTCAACAGAATAACAACCAAACAAAAGTATTTCGCAAGAAGTACCTATTCAGAAAGTTACAGTGAGAAAAATCAAAAAGGCTACAAAACACTGCTCTAAAAGTCTGTATTTTCTCAGAGGGGCAGTGGTGGAGAAGACAATAGAAATTAATAACTTATCAAAATATGATGTTACAGAACAATTGTGCAGATCACATTTAAATAAGGCTGTGGATGTTTCATCTCAAAGGCCTCATCTATATTGCAGTCACTGAAGGATGTAACAACGACTAAGAAACACTTGTGTGTTCTAGTCTCCAAGACCACTCCAGACCATTCAGAAGCAAATGGTATTAAACAGTAGAGCTTTCAATATCTAATGGAGACAGTTTGTGTCTCCCTATTTTCAACTGATTCTGCAAAACCCCGGTTGTTGCTCAATAAAGCTTTCCAATATTCAGCTGTTCAAAAATCCTCTTACGGCCACATTTGAAGGCTTATCACTACAAATGCAGTTCTGAAGGCTTCTCTGAAACATAGACTTCAACTGGGTGACAAGCATAACACAAAAGGATGCCTGGGACTAAGAATCTGATTACAGACATTGACGGCCTCCTAGTAAGCCAAAAAACAACTCTAAACTATGAGTGGTTGGCATACTGGAGTACATACCCCAGTCAAAAAACCTGTCTGTAACACCGTGCAAACCAGTGCCAGATTTCAACTGCACTGCAAACTGAAAGTGATCTGTAAAAAATGGTCTTGGTCTTGTTCAGAACTGGGAGAAAAAGAAGCCTTACTTCACCTTCTCACAAAAATCTACTTAAATAGCCAACAAAAAGGTATCAAATTAATACTTTCATGAACAACACATTTTGTAAATTTAAATGTAAGTAACTTTAGGCTGTTAAAAGCAACACACAACAGAGACAAAAGTTTCAGGGAATATTTTACAGAGCAGGGAACATGGTATAGCCAACCATGCTCTTGTACATTCGAATGTCAGCATCATCACGCCAAGTGTCGTTTCTCAGACACTTTTTGCACATGCGGGCTTGCAGGAAGCCTCCTTCCTACCTCCTTAATGGACTTTGTGCATTCCCACTTGAGAAAACTCAGTAAGCACTGGAAGTTTTGCAAATGGCAAACTGAGGAGCTCTAGTTAAAAAGTGACAGCAATTCTCCGCTCCCAACATGGGAATTCAGATCACAGAATCACAGGGAATTCAGATCTCTAAGCAATCAGGACCACACACAGGTATTCAAAACTTCAGGAGTTTTTCCTCAGACTTTGTTACAAAACATCACTGTAGCTGACAGCGAAGCCCCTTTAAAGCCACCTTCTTCTGGACAGATGTGGCAATCCACATGGAGGCCCTGGTGCAGCAACAACTCTTAGTACATAAACTAATTCTCTTACACAGGCTGTGGCTGTAATACTACTTGCTGTTCTTGTTGACTTTTTCATCCTATCTAACCATAATCTTCCAAGTAATTTTCATATACACCTATGACTTTTCTTTGTAATATTTATGTCTTTAGTCTCAGGAAGAAACCAGAACTCATTTGGTAAAATTAGAAACCTGCAATTCAGTCATCTCGCTTTCCTCCAGATGTAAGCAAAAGGGAAAATACTACACATATAAGTAAATTAAGAAACCAAACAACACAGAAATCATATTTTCGGAAAGGATTTTACAGCCATCCCTTACTTTCATTTCTGAGCATCCTTCATATGAAGTTGGTTTGAAAAAGAAAAGGGCAAATTCTCAAAGGGTCTCTGAATATCCTTCTTCTCAAGGTTAAAGTTCTGTTTATGGGACCAGGAAGAAGACATGACCAAAAGGCATGTGACGAAGTGGAGCAAAAGGGGTCTTTGAGCACTGAAAGCCACCTATAGCAGTCTTTTAAGAGACAAGTCTTACACGGTGTCATGGTTTGATGTGAGGGGGGAGGTCCGGGTGGCAGGAGCTGCCCATCAGACCGGACTCCCATCCCCCTTGGGGCTTGAGCCAATCGGCGCCTCTGCGAACTGCCCTATTTACGTTGGGACAAAGAAACCGGAAAGGTGTGTGCCTTTGCCCAGGAGCAAGGAGAAGGGAGGGGGGCGCGGCCCTCGCTCCCCAGCACCCGGCCGGGCCGGTGCCACCCACTGAGGATGGCGGCGGTGGAGCCGCTTGGGGGACGCGAGGAGAACGCGGGGTGCTCACCGGGCCGAGTTCACTCAGAAAAAGACTGAGATCTGAGAGAAACGGCCACACAGACACCAGGTCAGTGAAGATGGAACGGGACAACGTGTGCCGCAGCTCAGTCCCCTTGCAGACAAAAGGCCTCGGTGGAGCAAGCAAAGACCCACTCGCAGCCCATGGAGGATCCACGTCGAGAAGAGATGCCTGAGCCTGAGACTATTGTGAATCATGGGCACACGTCGAGGCGCATTTACACATTTGAAGTCTGTATGAAGACACATTTAAGGTCGATATGACGACCCACGCTGGAGCACATTTAAAGTCTGTATGATGACCCACGCTAGAACAAGTGGCAACAACTCCTTAAAAGTCCGAGACTGTGGTAAAGCCCACACTTCGAGCAGTCCGATGGGGTAAGGACTGCCTCCTATCGGATAGGATTCACCCTTTTGCCATG